ATCGCTGCGAGCGCAGCCCATCCTACTGCTATCCTACGATATATGTTACCGGGGTTTTTCCGTGTGCTGCTACACACTCGACAACTTGCGCCGTCAAGAGCAAGCAGCAGCACTCGGTTTTCTCCCCTGCTGGACTTTCAGTCCCTGCAACTTACTGTTGTTACGACTACTTCCTTCATCGCAATGGTCACCACTCGGCGTAGCCGAGGAGCGACCATCACTCAATGAGAAATCTCGGTTGACGAGAGAAACTCGTTGACACACGCGGCAGCTATCATGCGGTGCGAATGTGTGGCCACTGGTTGTCGGATACGCCCGCCTTCACGCCGGCCACCCCGATACTATCTAGTCTCGCAAATCTTGTACGAGGTTGATTGCTGTTTTTTCAACATTGAATACTGATTAGGGGCTCCTACCGTAATTTTCCTATTTGCCAATTTTTAAGTTACGAGTTTGACTGCCGTTTTCTACGAGGTTGAGTGCACAAAGGTGTATAGTTGGTTAAGTACACCATCGCAGCCTTCTCTATTAATCCCTGAACACTGGAAATCGACGCGGTCTGAACCGTCGCCGGCATGTTTGCGTTGAGGGGACGGTGCCAAAGTTGTCAATATCACTCATCGTGATTGTGCCGTAGTCGGTGAGTTGAGTGGTAGAATGAAAAGCCGGTCTTTTGCATCTAAATAAGCTCGGAGCAGCGGGAACATCGTGACACTTGCGCAAACGCCCGAGCTTCCGCGTCCACGGACCAGAACGCCGACCACACGGCAGCGCTGTCAAACAACGCGCAGTCCACGTCCAGCTCGATCATCGCCAGCAGTGCTTTCCTCACCTTCCCGGCTCTCCACACGCCGCCTCCCCGCTGTTACCGTTGCTGCAGTATCCGCCACCCGCATGCCGCCCTTCCACTGTCGCGGACGTCGCCACCCTTGCTCACCACCTCATTCACTCTGCCACCTCACGCTTCTTCCACTCTAGCTCGCCACCGTCGCCACCATTGCCGTCACTCCACTCGCTCGCCGTCCCAACCTTCTCTCCCTCTTTCCCTCTTTTTTTAAACTTAAAATAAAAAGGCAAATTTAAAAATAAATGCATAAATTTTAACAAGTACATGCAGTATTTTTGTTTAAACCACATTTTATGTTACGTCGGAGATTTTATGGTATGGTAGAGTATGGGCATATCTAATTTTCTGTTCGACAAAGGCTTATGTCGTGTTTTTTTTTCTGATACAAAACCCAAGTGTAAACGGCAAAATTTGTTGCGTCTGAGGTTTCTTTTGGGCTAAGATCCGGAACTTCCTGCCGTCACTACGCACCATGCTGCGACTTGCAGCGTTTCCTTCTGAGTCGGTACACGGTCAGCGCTCTTCTTATTAACCGAATCATAGTGTGGTTGGAACTTTACATTCTAATTCAGCCGCCATGTTGACGGACAGCCCATTAGTACCTCTTCGATTTTTTGTTGTTGGACACACTGGCAGTGTCTCTGGACTGCAGTGACTGGATACAATTCGAGAAGTTCTTGACGGTCAGTCTGCCGGACTGTCTGGTCGTCAGAATGATGGATTCCATTTTCCATCATGGAAACTGGGCCTGCTTAATTCAACACCACCGAATCGTCCGCATGAAGTTTTGCCAAGTTGCTTGGCATCAGTAGCGGGATATTAGTACTACGTAGTAGTAACCAGCTGCATGCTTGCACCTCTGGCTGCTAGGAGCATCAACTTAATGTGAAGTGTGGAGGAAGAGCCAGGACTGCGTCCAGCTCAAACCTGAGGCTCAGGTGCCTCCAGGACGCGATGCTCGCGTCCAGAAGCCGGACTTCGACGGACCATTGGCTGGCGAGCCGCCAGCCCCATCCTACTGCTAATCCTACCAATATATGTTACCGGGGTTTTTCCGTGTGCTGCTACACACTCGACAACTTGCGCCGTCAAGAGCAAGCACCAGCACTCGGTTTTCTCCCCTGCTGGACTTTCAGTCCCTGCAACTTACTGTTGTTACGACTACTTCCTTCATCACAATGGTCACCACTCGGCGTAGCCGAGGAGCGACCATCACTCAGGTTATGAGCCCAAGAAGGAGAGCTGGAAGCCCAGTCCGGAGTACGTAGAGCTCGCGCGCGTCCGACGAGTTGCAGTTGCCTGCAAGAGCAGACGAGACAACGTCAGACGAGGCACATGCGACGTCACAAGCGTCATCAACCTGAGTTGAGCAACAACTCGAGCTCTTATTGGCCCATTTCGGTACCGTTATGACTACACTGACAAATCAGCAGCAAGGTGCAGAACATTCCAGTTGGAAGCATTCTACCCGACGCCCACAAAGGCAGCTCATTCAAGAATTCTCAGCGGCTCGAGCACAACCGCAGCGAGTGCCGACGCCGTACGGGCCCCGCCGAGGAAACCCAAGCACAGAGGAACTTACCGCCGGCGCCAGCACGCGTCAGAGCGAGCCGCCAAGAAACCCAAGAACGTCCGAGGCTGCAGCGCAGCCAGTCTAGACCGAGGCCGGGACCGACTCCGCTACGGACGAACCCATGGTTGGAGACCACAGATGCACGTGGTGCATGAACCAGAGCGGACACGTGCAGTTGAACGCAAGACTTACCGATACCAACTACCAGACGTGGCGCGTCGAGATTTGCTCCATTCTCGACGTCGCACACCTCTTGGACCCCATCATGGAGCGCGAAACGATGGCAGACCAACGTAACGAAGGACAGCGCGGCTGTTTCAAGCAACGACTGCGTGTTGCTCAACGTGATTTTACGATGGGACTTAGTCAAGAGCTACAGATGCGATTTACAAGTGTTATTCAACGTGCTGATCCTATCCTACTGTGGCGAACACTGAAAGATCATTTGGGATAACCATCCTGGAGTAAACAGCGTGTTTCTCAAGCGAGATATGCTGAATCGTCGCCTGCAACGTGACGAACGACTTGACGATTACATTCGTGACATCGACGATTACCAACAAAGACTTCGCCGCGCGAACAAGCAGCTGCCTGAGCAGGAAGCCGTCTCTATCCTATTGTCAAATACAGTGGGTGTATACCCAGCGGTGGTAAACGAGCATGAAGTACGTATCGACGTGATGAGTCCATTACGTGGGAGCAAGCGATCGAGCGCCTTCGACTCGCTGACCACTCACGGCAAGAGACTGAACTACAGCAAGGACGTGGTGGAGGTGGACGTGCCGTCCAGCGAGATGTTGCATTTGTTGGTGGCCGTGGCGACGGACACAACGACGAAAGAGGACGTCGAAACTCGAGCAGCAGCCAAGCACGAGGCAACAACAACCGCAACAATCGTCGCAGCCGCAGCTCATCGCCGTGTGGGCGGAACAAGCGGCAGAAGAGCAAGAACTCATCCAGTGCGAGGGATGACATCGCCAAGCGAAAGGCGAAGACGAAGTGCAACACGTGCGGAGAGCAAGGACATTGGAGTGGCGATCCTGAGTGCCGCCAGCGTGGCAACAATAACAACTACAGCAACTCGAGCAGCCCGCCGCGCAGGATGATCGATGTGGTTACTGTGAAGACAGACAAGTCGGCTGCACCGACTCAAGCTGAAGGACAAGAGCATGTACTCGCGGTGCGTGACAACTTCAACTACAAGGACAAGGACAAGGACAAGGACATGGTGGAGTGGGTGTTGGATAGCGGCGCGCAGACCAACGTCTCGAGCGATCTTACCTTGTTTACGGAGCTACACGAAGACTCAGCTGCAGAGCTAGTCTTCGGCAACGGCACAACCGAGCGCGCAACTGTAGGCACAGTGCTTATGCAAGTGCTGAACGAGCACACGGGCAAGATCGAGGAGCGCCTCCTTGATGACGTGAGCTACGCCAAGTCGGCTGCCTACAACCTGATCTCGCAGACCTACATGCAATTCACAGGAAACTTCAAGGAGCGCGTCTCGCATGATCAGAAGACTACGTGGCTGGTCAAGGACACACTGAAGCTGCGCTTCAAGTACATCCGCGGGATGTACCGCATGTGGACGCCACGTCAGAGCAAGAACGTGATGAGCGTCAAGGCCAGTGAAGCTGAGAACCCCATGACGTTGCTGCACAACCGCATGGGCCACGTAAACATGGAGACTATCAAGACTATGGCAGGAAACTATAACTTTGGCATCAACATGCAGTCGAAGAATTTTGCTCTCTATGAATGCATTCCATGCTTAGAGTCAAAGACGAAGCGCATGAGCTACAAGCGCAAGCCGTCTCGCTCTGCAAAGCCCTTGCACAAGCTTTTTATCGACCTATGCAGTGTTGAAGTGAATACAATATCGAAATCAAACCAGTTTCTATTGATTATCGACGAAGCTACGAGATACAAGTGGGGATATCTATTAGCCTACATAGACGAAGCCACGGAGCTGATTCAGAAGCAGATTCGCTGGATCCAGAACCAGTTCCCGAAGGCGACCATCAAGATGCTGTTCTCCGATGGTGGTGGCGAGTTCGTCAACATGCAGCTCGAGACCTTCTGCAAGGACCTCGGCATCGACACGCGTTCATCCAATCCCTACAGCCCGCAGGAGAACGCTATCGTGGAGCGCACGAACCAGACCACCATGCGGCAGGTCAGATCTATGTTACAAGCTACGCAAATGCCTGTTTCATTATGGGGAGAAGCCTTCCTACATGCAATTGAGACGCTCAACAAGACGCCGACGCCGGTGTTGAAGGACCAGCAGTCCCCGTACGAGGCCCTGTACGGAGAGCGGCCAGACCTCAGCGTGCTGCGCACGTGGGGGTGCTTGGTGCACGCGCACATCCCTGATGATTCTCGGCAGAGAAAGGAGAAGCTCACTCCAAGGACGCAGATGTGCCTTCTACTTGGCTACAGCGAGAAGACCAAGGGCTACAAGCTGCTGAACCTGCGCACAGGATCAGTGACGACGTGCAGAGATGGAAACATGAAGGCACATGAGAAGTACACGGTGAGCACTGTGTATATTGAGCAACTTCTTGCAAACACCTACGCTTACGGAGACTACGACTTACCTGCGGAGATCCCGATCGTGCCGATCCGGACGACAATGTCTACGTACCTGCAGCTTCCTGCAGAGCTTGCAGAAAAGCGAGCAGCGGAAATGGCGAAGCTGGCTACTGCTGGTGAGAGCCAGGACCAAGGTGTTGAAGTTGAAGCCGAGTCTGCGACTCGAAGTGATGACCCACAGCTACCAAGCGAGGACGCTAAGAAGCCAGCAGCTTCAGTGGGAGGTTCCAAGCGGAAGAACACAAAGGGCAAGAATAAGGCGAAAGCATGTGCAAATCGAGTGGGAGCCTCGAAGACCAAAGACAGTCGACGTGACGCTCACGAAGACGAGAACTGGGAGCCATGCACGACGCAGAAGTCGTCACCAGACGACAGTGCAGCTACCTCGCGACCGAAGCGGAAGCGACAGCCATCCGCCCGACTTAAGGACTACGTAGTGACGAATGTGACGAAGCAGAACGTCGAGGATGTGCAGATCTCCATTAGTCACAAGCATGCGGCAAGGTCAAAGAAGTGGAAGGAGTGGAAAGCAGCGATGCAAGTTGAGATGGACTCACAGCAGCAGCACGAAACTTGGGTGCTCGTGCGACGCACGGAGGCCAAGGGCAAGCGTGTCATTTCGTGCAAGTGGGTGTACGCGCTCAAGAGAGACTCTACGGGCCGGATTAAGCGATATAAAGCTCGACTAGTGATCAGAGGCTTTCTACAACGCATGGGCATCGACTACAGTGAAACATACGCACCTGTTATCAGATTTGAGACGATCAGATGCGTGATCGTATACGCACTGCAACGCGGATGGGCCATCTTGCAGCTCGACGTCAAGACCGCGTTCTTGTACGGTGATCTCGACGAGGAGGTCTACATGGAGCAGCCTCCAGGCTTCGGAGAAGACTCTACGCGCTACGTATTCAAGCTACAGAAGCGTTGTATGGGCTAAAGCAAGCGCCTCGCGTTTGGAACAAGACATTGCACAAGTTCCTGACGAAGATCGGACTCGAGCGCCTCGACTCTGACTACGGACTCTACGCCAGGAAAGTGGGAGGAGAAGTCACCATGTTGCTCACGGTGTACGTCGACGACCTACTGCTCCTCGGCCCTAGTGACCTTTGCGCTAAGGTTGCTAAGCAACTCAGTGAGGAGTATGAACTCACATCTCTCGGACCAGTCAAGTATCTACTAGGCGTGGAGATACTAATCGACAGCGAGCGTCGACATGCGGTATTTTGCCAGCGGCAACATATTACGGAGGTGCTAAAGCGATTTCACATGGAGGGTTGCAACGCGGTTGCATCACCGGAAGCGCTGCGCGCTGAGGTGGTCACAGATGCGAAAGATGACTCCCCGCCCCCGTACCGAGAGCTCGTTGGTGCACTACAATATCTGGTCTCAGCCTCAAGGCCGGACATTGCGCACGCTGTGCGTAATCTCAGCAAGTACTTGTCCTGCTTCGACCACACACACTACGCTATGGGAAAGAGGGTGCTACGCTACCTGAGTGGTACTCAAGACCACGGCTTAGTGATGGACATTGTTATTGGGAACGACGTCAAGCTGACGTGTTACACCGATGCTGACTACGCTAATGACCCTGATGACCGAAAGAGTGTTAGCGGGTTCGTGACGTTCGTCAATGGTAACGTGGTTTCGTACGGATCAAGAAAGCAAGAGATTAACGCACAGAGCACAACGGAAGCAGAGTATATTGCCATGAATGAAGGCATTAGAGATCTACAGTGGCTACGTGGACTCTGTGAAGACCTATGCTGGGAGTTCGCGACTCCGGAGATTATCGGCGATAACAAGTCGTGCATCTATCTGACTGCCAAGCATAGACAAGCACAGCAAGAACAAGCACATTATGAACAAGTTCCACTTGGTGCGCCACCTCGTGGAGGACGAGCAGCTACGGATTCGCCATGTTGGCACCGACGACATGATCGCCGACGCGATGACGAAGCCATTGCCGAAGGACAAGTTCGAACATTGCCGTGATGGGATGAAGGTGCTGCGCATCGACCGTCAGCAAGGCTCAGCTCGTTCAGTGGGAGCCAAACATCATCGCCATGCGTGAATGCAAGCTACTACTACCAGTTTATGCATGCGAAGGACAAGAAGGAGGAAGAGCGCTACCAAGGATGAAGCGTCGTGCTGCAGCGCAGCTAGAAGATGCCAAGGACATCGTGGTGAGCTCTACAAGGTGATCATGTTGAAGCTGCGCTTCGACTAGATCAAGTGGGAGTGTGAAGTGTGGAGGAAGAGCCAGGACTGCGTCCAGCTCAAACCTGAGGCTCAGGTGCCTCCAGGACGCGATGCTCGCGTCCAGAAGCCGGACTTCGACGGACCATTGGCTGGCGAGCCGCCAGCCCCATCCTACTGCTAATCCTACCAATATATGTTACCGGGGTTTTTCCGTGTGCTGCTACACACTCGACAACTTGCGCTGTCAAGAGCAAGCAGCAGCACTCGGTTTTCTCCCCTGCTGGACTTTCAGTCCCTGCAACTTACTGTTGTTACGACTACTTCCTTCATCACAATGGTCACCACTCGGCGTAGCCGAGGAGCGACCATCACTCAGTTAAGGCTCTAATGTACTACATTTAATAGTTCGTAGAAGTAATCGTGCTCTCCCCTAGGGTCAGTTTGCTAACTCGGCCGATGCGGTCACGTGGTCGTACAAGACGCTGGCCACCACTATGGCCACCACAGCAAATCCGTCCAAGTGATAAAGAACCGCGTGATGCACAGGCTCGCCACGAATAACAATCCGACATAACGGAGTGGAATGGCACGGCGTGGACGGCGTTTGCGCAAGTGTCACGATGTTCCCGCTGCTCCGAGCTTATTTAGATGCAAAAGACCGGCTTTTCATTCTACCACTCAACTCACCGACTACGGCACAATCATGAGTGATATTGACAGCTTTGGCACCGTCCCCTCAACGCAAACATGCCGGCGACGGTGCAGACCGCGACGATTTCCAGCGTTCAGGGATTAATAGAGAAGGCTGCGATGGTGTACTTAACCGACTATAGATAGTATCGGGGTGGCCGCCGTGAAGGCGGGCGTATCCGACAACCAGTGGCCACATTCGCACCGCATGATAGCTGCTGCGTGTGTCAACGAGTTTCTCTCGTCAACCGAGATTTCTCATACATTCGAAGTATGTATGAGAAAAACGTGTGTTGCTCATTCATCGACTACTCCTGTTGTTAGTACCATAGTACTTCGTCCCAGCGCGTAATGGTAGTGCCATAGCGATGTAAAAATTCAGGCACGTCTGTGCTTCTTGCGCACACCCTTGCCCTGTGATTCCTGCTCAGCAGCTTCACGTTCAAAACGTGACAGAAGCTGTAAGGCTTCGTCTGCCGTCGGCCGAGCACTCGGGTCTGGGTTCATCAACCGATCTAGGAAAGCGCTCTTTCGGGCTCCGCAGTCCATTCCCGTTCAATCTTACTTGTCTTCACCAGGTATCCCACGGCCCATAAGTCAACCGCAGTCGTGTGGGATCCACCTTCCATAAAAATATCTGAAGCGTGTTCGTCGTGCGTCAAGTGATCGCCGCTGGGATATTTCTGCGGACTTTGAGCTGCATCAGCGAAGTCGATCAAAAACCATTCAACGCGGTCGATATGCTTGATCACGTTAGACCAACGGATGTCTCTGTGCATCCACCCGTTGCGATGGAGGACTACAAGGGCCTCGAGGACGTTCCCGAGCGCGACGAACAGTTCACTCAAGCTGCATGGCTTCATCTCAATGCCGCGGGGCTTAAGTGTCAACCTCAATTGGTCTGAATCCACCGTGACGACTGCATCGGCACAAGGAACCCCATAAGCTTTCAAAGAATCGTAGATCTGCTTCACGCGACGATACTCTTCTTGTGTATGAAAGATCTTATCGACGAAAATCGGACTCAACCGCACCTTGACGCCATTGGCGCGATGGATGTCCATGAACTCGGCCCCTGCCGAGGCCGGACAGTTTTGCACAATTGCCGGGAAAAGCAGACACAAATTCAGAAGTGCCAGTACAAGTCGAAAACGTTCCGGCGCATGCTGCAAGTTAAACCCTCCAATAAGGTGGGTTTTAACGTTGCCCGTGACGTCTTGATAGATAGCAAATAATTCTAGCTCGAAGCCCGACGCAGCATAGCCAAACACATACGGCACTCCACCGTAGGACCACACCAGCGTTTTAGAGAGCTCCTCACGAGGCACAGTGATAGAAGTACGAGGTTCTTTCTCCTCACCACGAAAAACACAGATATGATCCAAAGCAAACAAAAAGTCGGGTCGCTTCAAACCTGACGAGGATTTCCTGCTCGAATCCCGGTTGATGTAAGCACGCCTAAACACAAACCCGAGCACCACACGGATAATTGAGTCCCAGAAATAATGAAATGCACTCTCTGTGGCATCCCCATCCACCTGCGGGTACAGGAACGCAGCGCTAAACACCGAATCTTTTAAAAATTCGCACGGCGAAATGTCGTTTAGCTCGAACAATTTATCTCGAAGGAGTTGGCCTAGTATCGATGGACTCGACCAAGCTTGAAACACAGACTGCGGTAACCCAATCTTTACAGGGAGAGGTTGTCCGATAAATTCATTTAGATCTCCGCGTGTCGGCAGTAGCGTAAGTTTTGCAACTTCACTATGTTGAAATCTCGACAGCCATAAGTCCGTCCCATCAGAAATAGGCGCACTACTTGTCCCAGGAGGCAACGCCACCAGCACGTGAACAGGTGTGTTCATCGACTCGACATCCTCTAGCGTGGGTACGAACTTGACGTCCTTCTCCGACAAGCCAACCAAGCTGAGCGGCGCTCCTGCAACGCCCAATAGCTTCAAATCACTCGTGTCACTGACACCGTCCTTCACGTCGTTCTCCGTTAGCCACACCCCAGCGCCTTTCTTCTTCTTCGCCAGGAAGAGCTGCAGGTTCTTGGCGTCGCATGTGATCGTCGATGCGTTCTCCTCCTTGACCGCCTTCTTTAACGCGGAAACCGACGCACTCTCGTCTATGTCCACCTCGAATGCGCTTCCCGCCACACCAACAATCGCGCAGAAGGGCTTCACCATATCTCTGAGTAGCATACGCTTTTCTAACCAAAAATAAACACTTTTTGGTGAGCGGTAGACATAATTTGACACGACCAAACACTTATGCCTCGAACTGACCGAAATTCGCGTTTTGCTCTTACAAAATGAGGTCAAAATAACATGAGATTTGTATTTTGAGTGGCTCACTAAAAAGGACCAAAACGGCAAATTTGGTCGGAAATACACAATAGCGCTCCGCGTAGTAGCGCTTCTGCGCTGCACTCTTGGTATTGCTCAGGTGAGTATACCTCCATCTTTGTTTATTATTAATTTTATGTTTTTCAGGGTAGAAAAGTTAAAAAGCTGGTAGTCCTAGGCAAGCTTTGGCACATACAACACAGCGATAGAAGTTCATTCACGATAGTGCCTCGTGAAGATCGAAACGACGAACTACGTATACATGTAAGAGTACATAGGCATCGACTGGACTAACTGTCGCGCATAATCCATCCGCCTCGCCATGAGAAACTCTGGTTCCACCACATCTGCCATCAACTCGTATCGTTCCATCATCTCCTCTGCACGAGCATCACCCGGCTGGGGCAAGAAGTCATCAACCTTGATTGTCTTGAAAGATCCAGGCATGAATGACGGAGGAGGTGGGGCAGACTCCGTTCGTCTCAGTACAGCTGCCTCGATAAATCTGAACGCGTTCTTCGGATACTTCAACGTAAGTTGGGTCAGAACGTGCTTGTCGCTGAACCAAGAGAAATGCCAGTGGTCGTTTAAATCCGTCAACAAACTCAGCGGATAGCAATTGAGAGGCGCCTTCATGCTGCAGCTCACAAGTTGACCAATTGCTTGAGGAACATGGCCCGGTTCGACTTTCTTCTTGAGCTCGATCACCAAGCTGACCCCAGCCAGCTTAATCAGTGGGTTCTTCGCTGTTCGATTGATGAGCAATACATCAGCTGTGCCTTTCATAGCAAACGGAAGTCTTGGGTCCACGATGTTAAGAACTGATTTATCGCCCGCAATGTCATCCAACAAGAAGTCTCCTCGATCTATCAGCGTCTTCAAATGCTGCTGCAAGTACGCCATGTACCCAGCCCTTTGACTTTCCTCGCTCTCCACGATTTTTGGAATCCACGAATAACCGGCGATGGAAGTATCGACAGGCTCCTTGACATCAGGGATATTTTCAGTCAAGCGCATCTTCTTGACAATTCGCTCTTCCATCGCAGTATTCAGATCGGAAAACGAATACGCAGACGCCTTCTCATCTCGTTCCCTGAGAACCTTATTCATTGACATCTCCACTTGCTCTACAGTCAGTGGCGTTGTCGCTGCAGACATCTCTTTTGAGATAGTACCGTCTTGCTCCGGAACCACCACCAGCACGTGAATTTCATCGGTGGATGGCGATAGCATCCCCGCCAGCACTTTCTTGAGGCCGGACTCTCCCTGCAGCTCCTTTTCTTCTTGCGTTAGAGATTTGACGAGAGCAGTCTTCTCGCCCTTTTTCAGCTTCTTCACATCTTCAGTGAGGCTCGACAGCCATGCGTTGCCCCCCGCCTTCGCCAGGAAGAGCTGCAGCTCATCGGCAGGAAACTGATACAATTTCTCCACCTTGACCGCCTTCTTTAGCGCGGAAACCGACGCAGTCTGATCTATGTCCACCTCGAATGCGCTTCCCGCAACACCAACAATCGCGCAGAAGAGCTTCACCATATCTCCTTGAGCCGATGGATTCTGGAATGAGATAGAAGAGAGAATTTCCGCTCGTATTTAAGCGAAAAAAGGCATGTCACATAGACATGTTTAAAAAATAAAGACAATATTATTGTCAATGCACGTAAGTCTTTCTTACAGCATTGCTGTGACTTCAATATAGCATATCACATCGGAGCCATAGAGAACTTTATTTTTTGGAATAGCTCAGGCTTTGGAATAAGAATTTTCTTCGTCCAGAAATATATTCCAGTGCAATAGTGAAGGGCTGGAATAAATTATTGAAATATCGATCGGTAATCTATCCGTCATTTATTCAGATTTTATCTAGATAATCGCTATTCCAAGTCTTGCGTTATTTCAGTAACTAAAGTTATCTTTTGGCGAGCGTGTAATGCTTAGGCTTTCTTTCAGTTTTCAAGTTTTTTTTTGTCCATGTGTAATTTTACACTTCTGGATGCAGCTTTTCGTTTTTACTGTATTAATAATTATCATTGGGATAAAAACCGCTAACGCTGGATAGATTTCCGGTTCAACTCCTTTGTATTTCTGGCGTACTTAGTCGGAAAAAGACGCGTGTCACATAAACTTCCAACCAATCATGAGACGCCACGCGTCGCGCTGCCTCGAGTCCATGGTGCGCACTGCGTACTGCGCAGTAGCCACGTGCTACTAGCAAGCAAGTTCAGTGAGCGTGTTCGTGGAGAGGTGAGATGACGCATGGCGCGTCACCGGGCTCTCCGACCTTCTATCACTACGTAGAGAAGGTGCCATTGGCACAGACTTGTAGCGCAGTAGGCGTAGAGCAATAGGAATTAGAATGTAATACACGTGAGTGCCGGGCAAAGTACCACGGCAGGAGCACGGAGCTCTGGTGCTTGCTGCCTCTCACTCGTTGTGCGCGCAGTACAGCAAAAGCAGTTGTGAGAGTGAGAGCTGCCAAGCACCTGAACCTCCATGCTCCGCAAAGTTAGATTAGCACATACTCAACCTAAGCTAGTCTTAAGAAAGCTAAGTAGTTCACCATCACCTGCAACGCAGTTGCAGTTGCTCGCCGCCACCAATGTCGTCCTTCATACAGTCCTTGGTATCTTCCGCACGCAGCTCGCACGTGAGCGCGTTGCAGACCGGTACGCCGGGATGCAGTACAACTACATAGACACGCGTAGGATTGTAGGTCGAATCGGTAGTACTGGTATTGCCAGTGTCTTGGGCTGTGGTAATGACGTCTGGCATTGGACACTGGCAGGCTGTAGCAAGTAGCATCTCACAGTAGCAGGATAGCATCTCACACTCCCACATGATCTCGGCGTTGCAGTGCCGAATCGACGCGATCACATCACTTCATCCGTACACACACCACTGAGAATAGTCGTACGATGAAGCCACCACCACCGTAATCCGCTAGCTGCATAGTCTCCCACTCGAATCGCATATGTCCGTAGTCCAGCGCAGTTGATTGCATGCTAGTGTTGTGGTACAGCCACACGAAACTGGTTCGACCAGTCAGCACACATGCATACTACATGTCATCGTCGTCAGTAATGTCTTAATCCGTCGTACCGCATCGCAGGTGACGCAGTCAGGGTATCATGCATCACAGTTGACGCAGATGTAGCCTTCTCATTTATAGCGGCGGCCATGTCACTGTCTGCAACAATAGGCAGTACCTTCAGCATCTTTCGGAATCGGGAGAACTTGACCACCACAAGTGGTTTGGTTATGATGTCTGCCACCATGTCCTCTGTTGCGTAATTATCCGTTTTTTGTCCCCCCCCCCGCACCATGTGGTATTTGTTGTCACTGTGTTCTTGCTTGCTGTGCTTGCGGGTTTAGTTGTTACAGAGATGGCTCCCTGGTTATCTCCGAGTAGTACAGGTAGTGCGGGTTTCCACGCGAGTTATCGGCAGAGCCCTGCAAGCCACAGCAAGTCCTTTGTAGCTTCAGCCATTGCAACGTACTCAGCTTCACATGTGCTCTGAGCATTAATTCCTTGTTTCCTCGATGCATAGGAGACGACATTCTCGTCCATTGTCGTCATGTATCCACTGATGCTGCGGCGGTCAACGGGATCATTAGCATAGTCAGCATCCGAATAGCAACCCACACGTAGGTCACGCGCTGACGCAACATCCATCACAAGACCAAGGTCACGTGTAGCCTGCAGGTAGCGCAATACCCGCTTGGCTTGCGCATAGTGAGTATGGTCGTAGCTGGCTACGTATTTCCCGAGATGTCTGGTTGCGTGTGCGATACCAGGTCTTGAGGCCCTTACAAGATACTGAGGCGCACCAACCAGCTCTCGATAGGGCAGGTACTCGGTCGTAGCAGGAACAACCGCCTTTGAGGGTGTTAGAAGCATAGTCATTTCTCCATCCTTCTTCAGCGCGTACAAGCCGTAGTCCGACTCCAGTCTTTCAAGCCCAAGCGTCAGCAACTTGGCATGTAGAGTTCGGTTCCATACGTTCGGTGCTTGTTTAAGTCCATAGAGGCTCTTCAAGAGCTTAGAGACAAACGCTGGCCCATCTGTTTGAAAGCCTGGTGGTTGCTCTATGAAGATCAACTCATCGAGGTCCCCGAAAAGAAACGCGGTCTTTACATCGTACTGAAGAACTTCCCATCCTCGTTGAACGGCGAAGTAGATGGCAACACGGATCGTCTCAAATCGGATTACCGGTGCATAGGTCTCGCTGTAGCTCACGTCCAGTTGTTGTTTGAAGCCATGAATCACGGGACGAGCTTTGAATCTTCTCACACGCCCTCGTTCGTCACGCTTAACAGCGAACACCCATCTACACGTAATAACCTTGACGCCCTTGGCTGCCGCGCGTGGCACCAATTTCCATGTCTTATGTCGTTTCAGTGACTGTAGTTCAGCAAGCATAGCAGCCTTCCACTGAAGCCAATGCTTACTCCGACGTGCCTGCTTGTAGGTCGTCGGTATCTCAATGACCATATTGATAGCCATCACATTGTCCACCACAAAGTCAAGAAGCCGTACAATTGACTTCTGCGTCCGTCGAGGTCGCTTGAGACATGGTTGAACAGGAGGATCTCGAATCTCAAAGTCTTTCGTCACCTTCTTTCCCGTTTAAGTTTCTTTCGCGTCTTTCGTTTTCGTCGCTTGCTGGACTTGGGTGCCGCAGATGGCTCCTTCGTCTCGTCGCTCATAGCAACTTCAGCTGGCGCAGCTGCACCGGCAGGCGACTCTGCTCTCTGCTCATCAGGTAAGTCGTCTTTCGCACTCCCACTGGACACATGCTTTTTGTCCTGTAGGTCATCAGCTTTCGGCACCATCTCGAGCTGCT